GCCTACTATTTTTTATTTTCATATTTTAGTTTGTTTTTTCAATTATTTTTAATCTCCTATTTGATTATATTTTTTTTATTTTTAAGACTATATTGTTTTTTTTTTAAGCCTAATATTATATTTCCTGTTTTATATATGCAAAAAGCAGCCTGTTCTCTTCAGACACACAACCAAGCGTGAAGCTTTGTTCAAGGCTTCCTACTTTTAGAAAGCATTAATAGTTGTTGTATGTACTAATCGTCACCCAAAATGCAAAACAACATATCATCAAAAAATAATTAAAATTTTAAATCGGTGGCGGATATCATAAGCAATGTATAGTATAACTATTTTATAACCAATATGAGTGTACGGTAACCAATTTATATCCGTTTTATAACCAAACCACAAATTTAGTTTCACTTCAAATGTTTTCTATTAAATCGCTTTTACTTCGCGTGTAATCTTATGAAAGGTGATGGTACGTTGTTTAGCATTTTAGGGACGATATGTTGTTAATATCGGTGTTTGTATATTTAAATGTGAATTGTAATAAACTCAAGAACTCTGACATATTCTAAAATATATTACATGTACTTAAACAAATAGTTTGTTTCATTTAAAGGCTTTTGAGTATTAAGTTGTTAGTTGTGATTATCAGATTTATTACTTAAATAACCCAAATTCCACTCGTATATGTATTAGCATGTTAATCATTATACGAACCAACCTGACAATTGATTACCTGGAATCTCTAACAGGATGTACAACTTCGATATTGCAGTGACAAGAAATCGGAAAGTGAGTTAGCTCTAGATTTAATGTTAAGGTCCACTGAATGTAAAAACCATCAATTAAAGAAATCTCACAAAGTATAGGACCATGATGATCGAGTTCACATCTATACACAAATCCGAACCGTCTGTGCGATACTTACTACTCAACGGCAGGATAATTGAGAAGAAAGTGGTAAAATCTTCCAAACGAATTTCTGAGGGCTGAGCCCTCCCTCCCTCAAGTCCACTTGAAAAGTAGGTAATTGGTATACAAATCAATCAGCTAAAGGATTCAAAGACATTCGACGATTTCAATGTTTACAAGTAACTGAAATAAATATTCCAAATGAAATCACTACTGAAAGTGTCCCTAAGATAAACATTTTACAAAAAAAAAAAAAATTGCCCATGTTGGATCGCATGCTTTTGCATGGAGATACTTCAAAACCCTCTACGATATCGTGACAGGTGTTGAGTTTTGGAATGACTTCCTTTCATTTCCTTACGTAAAATCTAACTAAGAGGTCAGCGATTTTCGAAATGTGTTCGACATTTGGTTCAAGAGCACGCAAAAGTGTTTGGATCCTAATCATAAAAAAGAATTAATAATAATACCTTTATTTTCGATAGCAAAAATTTTCATTTTTTGTTCTCTTATTCCCACCATAGTATTATACCATCAAAAATAGTTAGAACCTTATTGTTTTTTAATAATTAAAAGTCGCTGTTTTCAAGCTGTCACGCTAGGTGTCCATTGATAAGTTTTTGATTTCAAACTAAAAAAGAAATTCACTAAATATTAATTTATTTAATTGTGAGATTTTTTTCAAAAAAAGAAAGAAACACCAAATCTAACACACTTCTTACTTTGATGTTTAGTGTTTGTTGCATATTTATGTTTATGAGCTACCTTCAAGCACTGCAGTGCTTTGGTTGATGCTTAAATTAAGTTTTCTAAATGCAGGCGTGTTCATTAACGCATGCATTTTTTACATTTCTGCTTTATGCTTTTTGGTTTATTTACTTATTTTTATTTTTTTTTAAATTATTTCCTTATTTATTTGTTTATGTATTTATTAGTATATATAGTTTCTAGATTTAGAGTTTAGTATATTACATAAACATATATTGCATATAATCGTACTTGTATACTATTTACACATTCTTTGTTTAGCATAATTCGTTTATGTTGTTGTTTTTGTTATATGAAACAATTGGCACATTTGTCTTTTGGCATTGAAATTTGTTGCTGTGAGTGATGTCTTAATATGATAGACTTCTGTGGTCACTTTGAGTGTCATTGTGGGTTAACGGGAGTTAAAGAGATAAAAGAAGAGAAGTCAAAGAAGAGAAGAAAGAAAAATCCACAAATATGGTTAGTGGGATGGATTAAAAGAATAAGTTTAGGTCTTGAAGTGCCGCAAGGCATAAAAATTAAAGGAAAAAATAAGAGAAATGTGAAAAAAGGCCAGAAAAAATAATTAAAAGGTTAGAGAAAAGTTAAAAATTTGCTTATTAAAACTAGAAAAAAAATTGGAAATTTGGAAATAACAGAAATAAACAAAAATTAGTGTTCTAGTTACTGAAATCAAGAGCTTTTAATTTTTTTTTTGTGTTTGAGTTTCATGCATGCAAAAACGCCAATAAAAAGCGAATATTATGGGAAAAGCTGCAGTAAAATGGTTAATGAGTGTATGCGTGTGTATCTGTGTGTGTTGTGAGTGCTTTTGTTTATTGGTTTGCTAGTGTTGATACAGAAATTTGATTTTTCGCCACATGCAATCGAAGAATGAGTTCTTACGCYTGCTTATTTGCTATGCTTATGCTACGCCTTTCATTCTCCATGTGTAGTGGTGTGTGCTCATTTGTGTTGAACTCTTTTCGTATTGTTTTGCAAGCCTCTGCACTTAATACCACACTTGATGGTGTTGTTGTTGCTGTTTCCGCTGTTATTGCTGTTGTTGATGCGCTTACAGCTTTCCTGTTCATTGCACTGTCGGCAGCAGTTGCACTTGCTGCGTCTACAGTGGCAGCCACTACGGCTTCTTTTGTAGTTGTTGTTGCCGTCATTATTGTTGATGTTGCTGTTGTTCCGATCATTGCCGTCTGCAGCCACGTCGTCAGCAGCATGCCGAGCAATGCAATTATCATTGCATAATTGCAACATATTCGTTGTGTGTACGTTAGCTTATTGCTGTTGCCACATGCAGTATGTGGCAGCCACAATTGCATTCTTGTTGCCGCACTTTTATCCTTTGACCAGTCATAGCCTTTTGGATTCTCACCGGTTAGCTTTTGTTCGGATTTACCAATCTCATTCAGATTTGATTGGTACTTTGTGCCCACTGAAATGGAAGATAAACAAGGATTCAAATGAATTTCACTTAATTGAGAGCATTTATGCCAATTGCTTTTGCACTTCTGCATCGCCATGCAATCGGGCATGTACGTAAATATGTAAATATGTTTACTGGTGTATGTGAATTTCTTTGCGGGTGCAGAAACGGCATTGTAATAGTAAGAACTGCTTTTCGAGTGGAATTTTATTCAAGAAGTTGGAGAGGAGTAAAGAGATAATGGTCATTTTGAGTTTTTGAGCAATGTTATTAACATCACTGTTGTAATGTTTTTGTTTGGTGAGAGCTGCATGAAACTTAGGCTTCCGCTGTGTTAAGAAAACACTGAGCTATACTATCAATATAACCGCTCGATCAGAACTATATCAGAGCAGAGTGCATGTTTGAATGCTAATAAAGGCAGAATTAAGTGCATTTCCAAGGACTCTGTAATGCTCGCAATTGGAGGGACAGTTTTATTTAGAACAAACAAGACATATTTTAAAAGGTTTATTTCGTTATTGTTGTATCTGAACACTGTAATCGATTGTAAGTTTGCCAGGATATATTTCTATTTAAGGGAACTATAAGGAATTAAGATGAGAAAGCAAATAGGGTAGTTTATGGAATAAAATCTAGATTTAAACAACTTTTTAATTTTTGATATCATTCTTATTTAAGACTGATGCGGAAAGTAGATCTTCTTCGGTTAGGTCTCTGACTACATAATCCCATTATATATCATAGTTTTGAGTGCATCACGTTTATTGGACATTAAGCTTAGTGAAGCTATAAAGTTAACAGAAAATTTAAAAAAMCAAAAAAAAAAAAATAAAAATAAAATTAGTAAAATAATTTAAAAAACACTGACTATTATATGAATGTTACTTATACGCCGTGGCCATTCAATACTGAAAGGCCAAGTTGAAAGATTTCGGAGTTGACAAAAAAACAAAAAAAAAAAAAAAAAACCAACGGAGTTGTCAAAAACGGCGTTAATTTATTATTGATACATTGTTTTAATTTTCTTATTCAAGTGAAGCCTTGGCGACAAAAATTTGTTCACTCCATTTTTCGTATTCGGAATATTGTATCCAAACAGAGTTTTGCGGCGAGTTCTACTTCATCACTTTAATATCAAAATATTTCAGCTGAAAGTCGTCCTATTTTCATTGAAATATWTAGTGAACCTTCTCAAGTTGAGCAAACGTGCCAAAAGTGGTTTGCAGAATTAAAAAGTGGAGATTTTGGCTTGGAAAAGGAAGAACGTTCTGCGCGGCAAATAAATTGTGAAGACATCGAAATGTTGGCAGTTTGTTGTCAATCGCAAGAACATTGTGTGGAATTTGTGGGAGTCATTCAAAAACGTTTAAGGGGTTACATGAGTTTCACAGTTTAAAAAAAAAATCGATTTTTTATTGTGTTATTAAAGAGTTTAAACCATTTTTCTAACAAAAATTTAAGAAGTTTCTTATTAATAGTGTATGTTTGTAACAATAAAAATTCTAGTAAAATATTTAATTTTTTATATGAGAAAAAATTGTTGAAAAAATGCAGTTTTCTAACTTAGGAAACCCACATGGGGTCCCTGAAATACAGCTGAATATAAAGAAAAGCAAGGCTGGTAGTTGCTGTATTATTTGAAGCCAAGATGCGTTGAACAGTGATTTTTCATGTAAAAAATGCCTTTTGAGCGCTACAAAAAAATATAATTTCTACATTGAATTTTGACCGGCGATGATAAATGGTTCCATTAGGACAACCCTAAGTACAAAACTCATATGTGAAACTTGCCTCAGCAACCAAAGCAACGCCAAAGCCGATTATCAATGACGTCACGATATTGAGTTGTATTTGAAGGGAGCGGAARGTCATGCTGTATAATAAGCCGTAGAAATGGATAAAACCATTAATCCAAAATGACACTGACAATAACACAATTAATTGAAGCAAGGAGTTGTCGGGAAAGACAGGAGGCGATAATTTCAATCATCAGTCCAGCGGACGGTAAAATAGTAAAACAGTGGTTGGAAAGTTCTTGCTTCACTCTAGACTTTGTCTCTTCTCACTATAAATTCTTCCAAACGRTGCAGCATATTTTAACTGGAATATGGTCCTCTTTAGATTTTGGGATTGTCAGAAAGTTATGAAAATGTTATAGCTTCAGATGGGAGCTAATTTGAGCAATAAATTTTTACAAGTTTTTCTGATATTATATTAACATTCAAAGTTTGAGATAAAAAAGAGAACAACCTGAATATAGCTAATAATTTCTTAATATTGCAACAGTTCCACTTATTTGAATCAAATCTATTTGGCGTGCAAACTCTATAGGCTCTCCACTACTTTTGGATTAAAGCGATCTTGTCTCAATTCTAATACCTTTTGCTGCATTTTCATATACAATCTATAAATCCATTAAAAAAAAAGAAAAATAAAAAACAATCTTCGCTTAGAAAAATTATAAAAAATTGTTTGCTTGTAAGCAATGCTTGCATCGTTTGCTGTAATTTTGCAAGTTTGCACGTCCGGTCGCAATAAGCCACAAATACACTGTGACCGGGCGATTTCACTGGTTTATGRCGCTCACGTGCCTAGATTTATCAGAAACTTACTTTTATCGATGACTATCACTGAATTGGTTGGCATAATGCCATAAATTGGCGTGCTCAAACTGTCCCAGGCTGGCGCTATTGTGGTGCGACGTGTTGTGGTTGTGGTCGGCGGTGGCAGCGTTGTTGGCGGACTGGACACTGAAAGAAAAAACAATAATGAAAGGAAATTATTAATATATATAATAAAATAATATAATATATATAAATGCTTATGTTAAAATGAATAAGTAACAATTTTTTAAGCTACAATTTTTTACGCCGAAAATTTTATGAAAAACAATTTTTCTATAATTTTTTGTTGTAACTATATTAAAAAACGCAACTTATTGGTCAACCGGTAAAGCCTAAAATTTCCGCGCCAAAAAATATGCAAAATCAATCATTTAAATGCTGCGGTTCAAATAAAATACCGAAAAATTTGGTGGCATTTTGTGGGATTTGTCGAGATTTCAGCCGAAATGCTTTAACTAAATAAATCAAATAAAGGCATTTTTTTGTTATTATTATTTATTTAACACTTGTATCACACACGCACACACAGGCAACAAATCCGTTTGCGGTGGCAAACAAATTAAAGGATAAAATACCAAGCAATAAAAAAGCCAGAAAATGGCTTACCGCCGTTTGGATTTTTTCTGGTCACTCTATTTATTTACTTTTTTTTGTTGTGCAAGTATTTGCGATGGCATTAAAAGGTGAAATATTGTTTGCTAGCATATTTTTAGGCATTTGACTGCGCACACACACCTTTATAAACATATGTATCTATATATGTACAAGTAATCGCACGGCTATTACAAGTTTTTCGATTGCTTTCTATTTTTTGCTTYGGCGCTGATTTTAGTGGCTTTTCGTGTTATTTATTGCCATTGCACTAACACCATGACACATAAAATGGAATCATTAAACGTAAAATTATTGCCAACTAGAGACCTGCAGCACAAACGCACAGACGTAAGCTGATTTATGACGCCGCATAAACACACATGCGCAAATGCATACAAATGAAAATAAATACAAACATACAAGTATATTTATCCATTGGCCAACTAAGTTGTTGTTGTTACGTTATTAGTGTTAACAAAAGTAGATTAGTGGCACTTTAATGACAAAATGCAATTAAACAAATAAATAAATTAATATGATTTAATAGAAATTTCATGAAAATCTATTATAAATTTTCATCGCTCTTTTTCCACAATTTTTTAGTCAGGTGTTGTAAGAGAGGCTGCTTTGGATAGGAAGTGAAACTGAACTCAGAAAAAAAAGTGACTACAAGTTCACACATTTGTAAAACCCAAGAAGAAGATATATCTAGTTTAGTATGTCAAATATGAATGTCACTCATACGCCGTGGCGTAGGCTCCTTCGGAAAACAAAATATACGCCTTGGATATTATGTTAAGGCGCACACCCAGCCTAAAAAATGCACGTTTCTTGAATTTAAGGAAATATTTATGCATATTTAAAGAATATTTTGTAAATTTTTCTAACGAAAACTTAGAAATACGAAAAGACTATTTCGACTAAGCAATATATAGAATTCTAAACTACTTAAAGCATTACTCGGCGCAACTTGTTTGACAACATTTAACCGCTAAAAGTTATTTTTAGCCGAGTATGCATTTTGTGCTGCCACAACTTAATTGCAATCAATTTACGAGTTGCAAGGCGACATTTTATATACTTGAATAATAATTACTTATATCACGTGTGCACTTGTAAGCGCATTTATTTCTTTTTATTATCATTTCATTGTGAGTTTCAATTCATTGAAGATTTAATTTGTGCTTGACATTGCCCCTAAGGCAGATTCACTTACATATAAATGCAATAAACACACACACAAAGCACTTATGTGGGTGAATGTGTCTCACTGACAAGCGCACAATCGGCCATAAAACTAAGTAGATACATATATATGTTATACAGCACTACACTTACACTGACATATATCTGTTTGTTTGCTCCACACATATCCAACTTCCTAATAAAGACATGCATCCATACATACATACATATGTGCCTTTTATTACCCTTTTGTCTGTGGCTCGGCATGTCGCCTACTGCTGCTTGTGTGTAGACGTATTTACATGCATGTGTGTGTGTGTCTGCTCTTTTGTGCCATTGCGTCAATTGTGTGACCGCTTGACACTGATTTTATGGCTGATTTTTAGTGTTTACCCATAAATTTGCTACTTAACTGTGATTTGGCAAATTACGAATCGATTTTTGTCTGCCACTGTGTCTCCACGGACAGACTAACACCATTGTGTGTGCTTGGAAAGCCGTCACGCACATACATCTGTAGTTTGTTGGCTGGAAATAGTTGATGTTTGTGTGGAGGTAATAATACGTTAGGATGATTATTATGGCTTAATAAGGTTTATTGCATGTCTACACGTGTACTAAAAGTGTTGTTGGTAATGAYGAAGGCACAGTTATGTTTTATAAGTGTTATGGAGTGAGAAAGCGGATAAAAAATTTGCAGTAAGACGGTGAATTCGTTCAAAACAACAGCGTAATAAAAAACCACTTATTACCGTTAAAKTGTTCCATCTATGCGGTGAAAGATATAAATGAAATATATAAAGTTGCTTACACATAGCACACTAGATAAATCGTTGCATTGAATAATGTACAGTAAAGTTGAAAGGATAGAATCGTGTTGGAAAAATGAATCAAGAAAAGGGAGAAGTCGGAATTATGTGAGGAGTAAAAACTATTATTCAACGTAACAAAATCTAGAGAAATCATTAATGAACTGCAGATGGAGTTCATTTGCTCAGTCTAAGACGAGTAGTAGTCATGGYGTTAGTCTACAATATCTATGGCCTCACTGGCGACACCTCCTTCTGTGTATCATATTGTGGG